CTCCAGATTAGACAAAGAATCTTGGAAAAGAAGATCAAAATTGTGGGACTCAAAGGACTGGAAATTATTTATTTTAAATAGCAACTTGCTCTGGATAGGAAGGACCCAGTGTAAATAGTAAGTATTGCTTTTTCTGAGGAGAAAGAGAGAGAGAGAGAGAGAGAGAGAGAGAGAGAGAGAGAGAGAGAGAGAAGAGCAAGTTTGACAGAATCCTTTGAGTAGAGGAAGCTATGGTGTATCCTTTCAAGCTACATCTTGCTGTCATTAATGGGCACAATCAGCTTAATCAATCACCATCATGATCATCCTGTTGTTCATCGATTGCCTCAAGCAGGCCCCAGTAACGTCTCCTTCATCCTAGCCCTGAGATTTTAAAAAGTGCCATATTCAAGTCTCTTTAGGGTTAGTAGAATGAGACCCTTCATTGTTACTGGAATTTGGTATATTGGGTACACCATGAGGAGTTTGCCAGACTCTGCCGTGTGGGCAGGTTACATTTGGTAGCCTGCTAGGTTGTCCAAAGTAAGAATGAGATGATAAGATGTTGTGCCGTCGCAAATGCGGCCACGTGCTTCCGGGAGCTAGGTTTTATAGTCTCTGGGTCTTGGCCGTTGATGGGATTACACAGCGCTGGGGGTCAGTTGGTAGGTGTGACCCCTGCCTACTGGAGGATGGAGGATCTGGGTGGAAGATGTTCAGCCCCGATCCAAGCAGGCTTGGAGATCTCAGCCCCGGGACCCGCATGCCTTTGTTCCTCTGCTGGTACCTTCATGCGTGTGGAGAGTGGTCTCAGCATGATTGTGGCTGGTTCTGGAGATCTTCGGCTGCCGGAGCTCTGCTCGGGGCGGGGAGGGAAACTCAACACACCCCCCTCCAAGAGGCCCCGGCTAGGACAGCCAGGTGCGGGGGCAGGAGACTCTGTGCTTAATCAATACCTAGTATTTTCCAAGCTATAGGAACTATACCAGGTCCAGGACCCCCCACATAAGAGATGATACTTGTTTGCAAAAACTATAGACAAGCATAAGATTAGTAGTAGCTTTAATAGAATTGGGTCCTGGATATTATCAAAGTATGGAAAAGGAGTATGCTTTCCATGGGCTCAGAGAAGACTTCAAAAGGGACACTCAAATCCAAGAATCAGCAAGAAAGAAAGCTAAAACCTCACACGTCAGAGAACCACATGAGCAAAGGTGTGGAATCTGGGTGTAGGGAAAACCCCAGGCAGTTGATGGTGTTACTAGAGCATGAAAAGTGCAAGGGGAGTGTGGGGAAGTAAGGCTGAGAAGTCAGTTTTTTTTCTGAGCAGAGATGCGGGACCGTGGGCCCGCTCGAGCAAATCGATGAACAACAGGAGGACAGTGGCAGTGACAATGCACTATGAAGAATACTGCAGTATGGATTTATGGGGGAAAAAATTAAGAAATGAGGGCAGGGAACTAATTGGAATAGATGAGGAGTGTGAGATTCTCTCTTATTTTTTAGGGGGGCAACACCTGGTTGTGCTCAGGGCTTACACCTGGCTTGTGCTCAGGGATCACTCCTGAAGGAGATCGGGGGAACACACAGGTGTGCCAGGGATCAAACTGAGTCAAACACATGCAAGACAAGAACCTTACCTGTCATACTCGCTCTCCAGCCCCTGATTCTCATTTATTATGAGATTGACGATTTCATAATAAAATAAGGGATGGACTGTAGAAAGAGCCAGATGGTAATGATGGAGACTTGAGAGGGACAGAGGCAAGTATAGGGTGTTGTAGGTCTCTGACACATTGGATGAAGGGCACTGTGTACTGAGATACAAAATAAAGGGAAAGGGAACAAACCTGGGAGATGTTGGTGATGGCTAACATTAATCAGTTAGATGTGTCAGACATTGTGCTAAGAGTTGGCATGCACTGTTTGTTTTGGAGTCACACATAGCCATTCTAAGGGGCTAATCCAAGCTCTGTGCTTTTGTGCTTTGGGGGTCACTTCTGGAGATATTGGAGGACCGCGTGGTGCTGAGGATCAAACATGAGCCGCCTCCTACATACAAAGCATGCACTCTGGTCCATTGAGTTCTCTCTCTCTCTCTCTCTCTCTCTCTATCTCTCTCTCTCTCTCTCTCCAACCCCATTTGACTCTTCTGTTTTCTTATAATTCTGTGACGTAGATACTACTAGTTTCAATTTATAGCCAAGGAAAATTAAACTTTGAGATATGAAATAGTTTAGCTCGATCTGCATGGCTGGCAGAGTGGTAAAGAGATACGAATCCAGGCACACTGGCTCCAGGCCAATGCTCTTAATGAGCACCTGCAAGTGTGTGTATGTAGATTCTAAAGAGTCTGTGGGACCCACACATGACAGAGGTCTGGGTTTTAAGGGGTGCTATCAGGCTTAGACCATGCTGAACTATCAATGTGAATAAGACTACTTCGGTTTAGAATACCCCAGGGAACAATTACGTTAACAAAAAGGGCTGGTTAAAGGGTAAGAGGCCACCCTCTTATCCAGTGAGACAAATATCAAAGTCACCTCTGATTTTCAAGTCTGAAGTCGTGACTGCTAACCTGGCACCAGAGAACTGGGCCATCATGAGCAGTGTAGCAGCTTCAAGGAAAAGCGTCCACCCAGTTAAGTTGACATATTAATTATAACAGTTACTATGTTGCATAGTAATTATCCTAAACAGTAAGCATTTTACATAAATAGCAGTAATTAGTATAGCACAAGTTTCCCAAACTGAGTCCTGTGGAATAGTAGTTCCTGGAGATGTTTAGTAAATGTTTGGATAAAAAAGCAGCTTTGGAGTCAGGAAGTGCCAGTATAATTTAGATAGAACCAAACCCTGGATTACACTTTTCTGTCAGGAGTTGGACAGTGGGATGGCCAGGCACAGAGGCTCTGGGAACAGGCAGCTTGGGGTTGAATCTGCCACTGACAAGCAGGAGAGTTTTGGGCAAGTTATCCCTCAGAGGTAGTTTTCTCATCTGTGCAGGGATATAGTAATACCCTCTGCTTGTTCCTGGGATTAAATGCAGTAATAACATTTGCATAGTTAGAAGAGTGATGTCTCCATGAACACTATCATCTATACACCACTGTCATTACCAAGTATCTCTGATAATCTTGGCTCTCACTCACACACACCCTAAAACCCTATATACTGAAAGTTTTATATATATATATACATATATATATATTTGTGCCACACCCAGTAATGCTCAGGGGTTACTCCCTACTCTGCATTTAGCTGGGGGGGGGGGGGAGGGCAAACCATATGGGATGCCGGGAATCAAACCAGAGTGGGTTGCATACAAGGCAAACGTCCTACTCACTCGCTCTGGTCCCTGTCTTTTGGGTGTTAGAAGGTGCTAGAAACTCAAGGCCCTTGGGCCTAGTGGCTAACCTTTCCTCATATTCCCCTCCCTCTGTTTCCATAGGGGCCCCACCCCCCTATTCTCTCATAGGGATACTGACATCAGAATACCCAAGAGGTGTCAGAATACCTCCTCCTTGACTATTTCTCTGATATCATCTTGACTGAGGTAGGGAGATGACTGAGGTAGGGAGGTGAAAAAGGCAGGAGGGGAAGGTTTAACAGCTTGCCCCTGACACATAATGAACCCCAAATGATGATGCTCCTAGTCAGGGTGGCCAGGGCGCACCTGACTCCCCCATCACACTGAAGGGGAAGACATGGGACGAGGAGTTCCTTAATCATCATCGCGGGGCGCAAACACCTGGCACCTAGTACCCTCTAGTGCTCTCAGCCCATGAGGTAGACACTTTCTTTGTGAATTCGTTAAACGGGTGAAGGTGGGGTGGGGAGAGAGAAAGCAGAATTTTCTGCCTTCGCATTGGATGGGCTGGCAGCAGGCAGGCACTGCCCATGGACTGGCCTCTCCATCCTCTAAAGGGCTGCTTCCTGGCAGCACGGATTTCCAGTGAACCTAGGCCTGTCCTGTCGCCATCTGGAAGGTCCCCTTCTCTCTACCCTAGTTCTCTTCTTTAGGAGGTGAGCAGAAGGGAGAGGGGGATTGTGCCAGCTCACAGCTCTGGTGTGCCACGTTCGCCTCTCTAGAGGGTTCTTTGAACCCTCCTCCTAGCCCTGTCCACGACAATGGGCAGATTGGCCCCGCAGCAACAGCTGACTTTCACCTCCATCCCAGGGTCCTCGGACCGGAAACGCTCGCGTCCGCGTCCTCGCAGCTGGTGCAGAGGTGCCGCCAGGCTTGCTTAGCTGCGAGCTAAGGTCCAGCGTCCCCAGAGACCCTTGAAACAAAGGCCCGGCTGGGACCTTCCCCAAAGTGAGGGGGTGGAGGGAAGAGCCCTTCAGCCCATCACTGTCGGAAGATGGGAGGCTGGGGTGGCATGGGAGGGGGCGAGTAGGGGGAGCTGGCAGTGTATGGAAAAAGTCCTCCCTGAAGAAGTGTTCTCTCTCTTTCCCTTCCCATCCTTCTCCCTCATGGAGCATCTCTCCTTCCTTTCCCAGCGGCGCTCGGGCTCTGACTGAAATCGCCATCCCATCCCTCCCTTGATCCCTCTCCCGGCTGAGGGGCTGCCGCCCTCGACCCCCCACAGCCCCCGCCGCGCGGCCTCCCCGCCCCTTCCAGGCCGGGCCTCCGCAGCCCCAGGTGTCGGGGTCCGCATTCTTCTCCTGCCAGCCGGCGAGGGCCCCGGCTCCCTCCCCACCCCCGGCCCCCTCCCCCCTCACGCTGCCCGCTCCCCTCCCCGCCCCGCTGCCCTCCGCCCCGAGGCATTGTGGGAGGAAACAAGATGTGGGGCGAGAGCGGCGCGGGGAGAAGCCCGCAGTGCGGGGCCGGCCGGGCGCAGCCAATGGCGAGCGCGGACGGCGGCGCGCGCGGCGGGGGGGCGGGGCGGGGCGCTATTTCAGCGCGGGGGGGCCGGCGCGTCGGCCGGGCTTAGCGGCAGAGCGGAGCGGAGCTGCGAGGCGCCAGCGCCAGCGCGGAGCAGGCGGGCCGGCGGGCGCGAGGCGGAGCGCAGGCGGCCGGGGCAACCCGCAGGGCGGACGGCGGCAGCGGCGGCGGCGGCGGCGAGCGCACGGCCCGGACCCGCGGGAGCCGGACCCCGCGGCGGCGGCGGCCGGAGCCGGAGGAGCCGAGCGAACACCGCCCTTGCCGGCGCCCTTCCTCAGGCCCTCGCCGCTCCCCTCACCACCCCCCGGGCCCCGCGCGGACTCGCCTCGCTGAAGGTGAGCGGCGGCCGGGGGCTTCCCTGGAGGCCCGGCGGCGGCGGCGGTGGCGGCGGCGCCTCGCCTCACGCGCCTCACGCGCCTCACGCGCCGGCCCGGCTGCGGCGTCGACCGCCCCGGCGCGCCCCGCCTTTCCCGAGCCGGCGACCACCCCGGGGCGCGGCGGGAGAAGCCCCCGTCGCCGCGAGCGCGCGCGCGCACTCTCTTCCCCGAGCCCCTGCCCCCCGCCGGCCGCCCGGCGTTGCGTGGAGGCCGCGGGAGAGCGAGGGGGTGGCGGCGAAGGCTCGGGCGTGACGCGGTCGCCGCCGTCGCCGCCGCCGCCGCCTCCCTCAGGGGCGTCCTTCCTGCGGCGAGGACGCCCCGTCACCCCGCACGAGCCGCTCGGCTCCGGGCCCTGCGCACCCGGCCGGCTCTGGGGAGGAGGAGGAGGAGGCGGCGGCGTTCGCCGGCCGGCCGGCGTGGCTGCCCTTGAGGCCCCCGGCTCCCCCTCACCCCCGGGCTCCCCGCAGGAGGGGCCGGTGTCAGGAGACGGGCACCCGGGAGCAGCCTCGGCGACCAGACGCGGGCGTGTGTGCGGGGGCGCGCGGGGCCGGCCGGCCGGGTGGGCCTGGGCCTGCCCTGAGGGCAACGTTTAAAAACCCGCGGCGGGGTGTGTGTGTGTGTTGGGGGGAGGAGGGGGCTGGGGGTGAACTGCCCCGGAGTGTCCTTTCCGGTTTTGAAAGGCGCCCCTGGCTCGTGACGGAGGCCGCTGGCCTGGGTCCCTCGGGTCAGCCTCCTCTTGCTCATGCCCAGATCTTTGCTTCCCCCCTCCCCCCCTTCAGCACCCGCTAGCTCCCCCGGAAGGGGCTCGGCTCGGCACTCCCAGCAATTGGACCGCCGGCTTCCGGGGCACCTGGTGGGACTCAGGACTCACCCTTTAGACCCCTGGGGGTCCGGGGCGGGATGGTGGGGGGAGGGGTGTGAAGAATCGGGACCTTCTAGTCACAAGACCAACCTTACATAATGGCAGCTCCCTCCTGGAGAGTAAGGTGCCTTTTAATTACTCTTAACAAAATTGCACCTTTGGACTTCTGGGATGAGACAGTGGAGCAGGGAGCTTGCTGGGGAAATGGTGCCAGCTTCAGACTTTCTGCAAGTAACCAGGCCCCACCTTGCCCCGCCTTTGTAAACAGTGCCCTCTTCTGAGTGGTGACCTGGACTGGGCCACCAGGTGACACCCTTTAAGGAATCAAGATCTTTGGGAGAGCAGAACCTAGCCTGGTGGTGCTGTTGTGCCGTGCTCAAGCCCACTGAAGGTTTTTTTTTTTTTTTTTAAGATAGTCTCTTGCCCAAGGTCATATGGCAAGTCAGGTCTTGCACAGTGTTTTGACCTTTCCTCAGTAATTGGTGGTGATCATAGACTTCCCCTGAGACTCTTGACTTTTTCTGGGGGCTGTGGGGTAGAGAGTGCTGGCCACTAACCCTTTGCTCTGCCAGCTTCTGCTAAACTCTCACCAGCCGTGCTTCCTTAGTGTCAGATAAAGGTGCTTTGGCTCAAGGGCTGCCTCGTTGGCAGCTGGCATGAATGCGTTCTTGCATCTGGTGAAGGAGCAGTCACGGATTTTGCTTTCCCTTTCAGCCAGACCTGCCCTCAGGCTAGTGTGGACTCTGATCCAGTTGGTGTGGGTTTTTCTCTGAGCAGGCAGGCTTTGTATTTCTTCCTATCAGATAGGGCTGCAATGACTGTCTAATCCATTGGGTGAGCTACAGTGTGGCAGGTTCCTGGTGGAGGGGTTACACACATTTTTACTGATGGACCTGTGGTCAAGGACAGAGGTTAGACTTTTGCAGCTATCCTTTCTGCAAGCCTCACTGTAGATGGTCAGTTATTAATCTCTTGTCTAGGTCTCTTGTGTTACCCTAGGAAGGGACTAATAATGCAAGGTGTACCTCAGAAATTCTGGCTTCTGAAGGGTGAAGAGCAGGGATGTGAAGTGGATTTGTTGAATAGATCTTCGCCTTTTGTTAACTGTGATCACCGGGCATTGGTAGTTTAGAGATTGATGTCTTTATCCTGTGTAGGGTGTGGTAGTAAGCATTTTACCCTCTACAGGCTATTTGAGTTTTGCGACTACTCAATTCTGTTACTGGAGTGTGTTCCTATAAAAACTATTTACAAAAGCAGGTGGTGAGCTAAATATGACAGATGGGGTGGAACCCTATATAGAATATCCTTGTTTGCAGTTGTTCATATAACTTTAGTTAATCCTTATGACAACTCCCAGTAGAAACTGATCCTCATTGCCAAAATTGCAGTAATCTCAGACACAGAAAGGCTAAGTGGCTTGTTCAGACCACGAGAGATCATAATCAAGACTAGAAGTCAGGCCTGTTGATTCATCTTTGCAGTATGATGCCACTGAAATTACAATAATCATTAAATCAAGGGTTTATTGTGTTCAGGTGTTATGCCACCTGATTTACCTAGGATAATCCTGTAGTCCCTATTTTCAGGTTGTGTCATGAAAGCACAAAAGCTGAGTAATTGCTCCAGGATCTATCTAATAGGTGATACATTGTTTTGTCTTGGCTATTCATGCTAATGCACATCATAGTGGAAAAGATTTAGAACTGAAAAAACTTTGTTTTATAATATTTATTTAAAAGAACTTTTATGTATTTTGTCTCACTAGTGTTTATTCTAGCCATTGTTACTGCTGCTAAAAGTGGCTAAAAGTATAGGAGCTCCCATTTCTGAAACCACGTCTATGTTTCTATTGCTTTTATCTTCTGTACCCCTTTTCCCAGCATCCTCACACCCAGCTACTACTACCCATTGATAAAGGGTTGTTAGCCTCACTTCTCTGCTTCTTCTGCAGTGTCACGATGTCTGACCGGAAGGCAGTAATCAAGAATGCAGACATGTCTGAGGACATGCAACAAGATGCTGTTGACTGCGCCACACAGGCTATGGAGAAGTACAACATAGAGAAAGACATTGCTGCCTATATCAAAAAGGTGTGTGGGGAGAGCTGTGGCTGGTGACCAGGGGTGGGGATGGATAGATGGACTGTGCTTCAGGGAGGGGTGGAACTTGGGGACATAAGAAAGCAATATATCCTCTCCTCTTATTGCAAAGCAGATAACAAGGGAGTGATTTTTTTCCCCCCCTACACCCAGCTGTGTTCAGGGCATACTCCTGGCTCTGTACTTAGGGATCATTCCTGGCAGGACTTAGAGGACCATATATGGTGCCAGGATAGAACCTGGGTCATCTGTGAGCAAGGCAATGCCTTTCTGGCTGTATTACTCTCTGAGCTCTACAGAGTGAATCTTTGTCAAATCACTCTTCATAGTAACTGCTAGTGTGTTGTGCACAGAGAAAAGCCTGAGAATTAAATATAACTGGCCCAGTTCAAAATGAAGATCAAGAATATTTGAACCAGTATTAGTATATGTAAATTTTTCAGGGAACTGATTTTTGCAAAATTTGGTGGTACCAGGGAACAGATCCAGGGCCTCACACAAGACAAGTGCTCTACATCTCCAGCTTATGAACTCTGTCATTTTTAGTGGGATATCCCTATAATAGTCTTAATGTGGGAGGTTTCTTTTTCTTTTAAAAAGAACTCATACTGCATTATTTTCTCCTCCCAACATTCTTTTGAAAAAGGAGTAGGCTTGAATATGTAATTTTAAAAACTGAATTAGCAGTACTGGTAGGTTTGGTCCTTGAAAAATTCCTGAGTGAATGGATATGGTTACCATGAGGAGGAAACAGCTGAATGAGCAGTGGTGTCCATGGCTCATGATTCCTAGTCCAGATCCATGTCCATTGCTCACTTAGGCTGAGTGTTTTATATTCTTAAATCTGGTATCCCAAGAAGGCCACCTGAGCAGTGGCATTCTGGTGCATAGAGGTAGTAGAAGATCCTTGAATTTTGAAGAACTCTGCTTTTCTACCCAGTCAATGGGGGATGAGAGAAGGAAACATTGGCGTCTTGAGATTTGTGGAGCCAAGCCTGGTGGGTGCTACTGACATTTTGTCATGCATTGTGGCAGAATCAAGGACTCTGAGACAGAAGAATGATTTGCTTATATCTGGTCCAGCTTCCTTATTTTAATTCTGGAGAAAATGAGACCCAGAGAAGTAACCATAATTCTTATGTTTCTCAGTCCTGAACTAAGATTGAAGCTGGTTTTGTTGTCCCATGTCCTTGATAGTGTCCCTTACTCCCTCTTAGGATTATGTACTATGAGAATTAAAGAGGCTAAACAAATTGCATTTTGAGCTCCTGGGGGAACAGAGGTCCAGTTTTGGCATTATTGGTAGATCTATGATAGAGGGATTACTACCTTTTTATATAGCAGTGGCAAAAGAATTTAGAATAGAGGTCCGAACTGGCCTACCATCTTTTTAGAAATAATTGCTCAGCACCTCCCTGCTAAACCTCCAGGGGCTACTGCCACCTCTAGGAAGGATTGTTCCAGCACATGCACACACCCATAGGGGCCAGGCAGTGGAGCTATCACTCACTTCTGGGAACACTGATCTAGAATCATCTGTCTTCTGAAGCTCCCTCACTGCCTGACTGTCATAAGGATTTTTTTTCTTTTTTTTTGTTTTTTTGACCATACCTGATAGTGCTTGAGGCTTACCCCTGGCTCTGTACTCAGGGATCACTCCTCGAAGACTTCCCAGGGATTGAATCCGGGTTGGCTGCATGTAATGCAGATGCCCTCCTTGCTGTACTATCGCTCTGGCCCCAGTCATGAGGATTATATAGGTGATTTTCATTATGACCTTGTGTCCTGGAGAGAATTCAGGAACTGTCTTGATTTTATGACATTATTCATGTTTTTAGCCCAGTGCTTCTTGGACCCAGTAGAGCTGTGGGCTGCTGGGGCCACTTGAATGGTGCTTGAGGGACCACCCCATGCAATTCTGGGAATCAAACCCACTTCAGGCATGTACTCCAACCCATTGAACTCTCTCTAGTCCCTTTTAATGTTAACATACACTAGACTGTTTCATGGTACTCCTGATATTTAGTCCCCATTTTCTTTAGTATCCTTCCCACACACACCCCCTCGCTCCCCCCTCCCCATTTTGAAAGGTTGGTTTAGTAATCTGGGGTGCAGGGAGTGGTGAGTCAGGGAGGTTTGCTTCACTGTTTCACTCAAGCTGTGTGACTATGGTCCTTTATTCCACTGACTTCTCTGGTTCCATTGCTGATTATCACATGGTTGGCTAAGGAGTAGGGTATCTAGAGGGAGGAGAGCTGATCGGGTGTAAGGGTGTAGTGTGCTAAGAGAAATAATGGAGTCTTTGTGGTGTTAAATTATTAACAAGGGAAGGAGTGTCCTAGAACTTGAGCTTGGGGTTCAGGGAACTGAAACCATGGGCTTGGGGGTAAGATAATTAAAATGTGTGGGTGCTGGACTTCTAGGGAACAACTCCTATTCTTGATTTCTTATTTTCAAACTGTTCTAATTTCTTTTCTCTTCTTCTTATTTTAGGAATTTGACAAGAAATATAACCCTACCTGGCATTGTATCGTGGGCCGAAATTTTGGCAGCTACGTCACACATGAGACAAAGCATTTCATCTATTTTTACTTGGGTCAAGTTGCAATCCTTCTCTTCAAGTCAGGCTAGGTGGCCACAGTGAAGGTGTCAGTGGCGGTGGCAGCGATGGCAAGCAGGCGGCGTTGCTGGGACTGTTTTGCACTGGGGCCAGCATCAGAATGTCCTCTCCAATGGCTGTGCTACTGCATGGACTGTATACTCGATTTCATGTGTATGTCGCAGTAAACAAAACCAAACTTTTTTCTGTTTAGTTGCCTGGGGAAGAAGGCTGCTTTATGTTTATTTTTTAAGACTTAAAAATTTTTTTGGTTGTATTGCACTAGGAAATCTCTCGCCCCTCCCTTTTCTCTTTCTCTCCCTTAACAAAATAAAAAAAAAAACCCAACCCTCAACTATTTGTAAGATTAGAGGGTTGAGGAAAAGAAACAGGTTTCTGGAGGTGGAACTAAAATTGTGCAGCTGCCTCTTTCTGGTGGTGGATGCTGCTTTGGGAGGGCAAAGAAGGCTGCTGGGTGGGCAGTGTTAGGATTGGCAAGGAGAGAGGGATAGGACGGAGGGTGAGGGGGATTGATCTCTAGTACCAGGGAGAATATTCCACTGAACTGTGATTCCCACGGCTTGGGGCAGAGGGTGGGGTGGGAGGGTGGATTCTTCAAGGGGCCCCGAGACGTGTTTGTGCTGTGTGGGAGTGGGGAGCAGATTCGTCTTGCTGTCTCTGTCAAAAGAATTTCTAAGTAAGGGCTGTGTCTTTGTGGATTACCTTTTATTCTTCCTGCCAGTGCTCATGCTAGGAAGATGTTGGATGTTGGGGGTAGGATTAGCTTGATTTTTTTTTTTCTTTTTCTCTTCTCCTGTCTGCTCCCGCTTAGCCCTCAGTTTTCTCATTCCTCTGGAGTTCTCTTAAAGCAGCCCCTGCTAGTTGACTGGCAAGGGAATTTCTGATGACTATAGTTCTTTAGTTAAGTCTTAGCAATCAAACCAAACCAATGTCTCTCTTGATTCTTTTGTGTGTGTAAGTGTGTGTGTGTATGTTTATGTATTGGTTTGGGGTTAGAGGGGGAGGGTGGGCAGAGCAGAGTGGAATCTCTGGAGTGTTTGGATAGAATAAGATGCACAGTTAGTTTTAAATGAACTTCTATGTTCAAAATCTGTTTTGGGGGTAAATCCCCCTTAGCACCTGGTCCAGACATTATGCTTACCCTGTGGCTGTGTGCTCCTAGAAGACCTTTAGAGGACAGCCTATAATGAGATAACCATGCTGCCCGCTGCCCTGGAGCTGGGTCTTGGTGGAGAGGGAACGTAACTTTGTGGATGCCTGCAGCTTCTTGTGAGAGATGGGGATGGAAGTGATAACATGAGGGGCTTTGGAGGAACCTTGAAGGAGGTCAATCTTGGAGTGATGAAGCCAGGTATCAGGAAATGTAACAGGGCCACTAGTGGGAGGAGATTCCAAGAAGAGTGCTGGGGAAATTTTGTCTGTTGATCAAATAGGGATGGGGGGCTAGTCATTGCTGGTTGAGCTGCTGATTCTTGTAAATCACCTTTAAATCTCTTCGTGTGTAGGGTTAACACTGGGTGGGGTGGGTTTGGGATCCAGCTCATTTCTTTTCCTTCCATCTTTGGGGTTATTGGTAGGCAGGAGAAAGTATGACTTTTTCTTTGATGGGGGAGGGTGGGGATTGGGATGGTGAATGAGTTCCCTATATCAAACACTTTGGATATAGGATTGATTGATTGTAGGTTTTATTTTTTTATGAATGTACAAGTCTTTGTTTTCCCTTGCCCTCCCAGACTTGTGTGGCCAGTTGGAAATGTCTGGTTTGTGTTCATCTCTCCCTCATTTCTGGAGCAGGGGCTGAGACCCCTCCACATCTCCTATGCTCTGCATCCATGCCTCTTTTGGACATTAAAGGTCGATTGATGCACTTCTGAACTGTTTGGGTTTCTTTGGGGGTGAGGGGGTAAAGGGTTGGACTGGTGGTCATGGTGCTACACATAGGATGGGAGTAGTGGGTGTCTCTCGGCTCAAGCAGGATTTGGGGCTGAAGTGGAAGACATGCAGAAAGATTTGATTGGCTTGAATTGGGCCTTAGTTGTAGGTTGCAGTCAAGTGGGGGAGAACCAGCACTCAAAAGTTTATTTCCACCTCCCAGTTTATAGCTGCTCTCTTAGATCAGAGGAGCTTTGTTTCTTAATATCTTTGGCCAAAGCTTATAGCCCTCTTCATTCTAGATTTTCATGAGATTAAAGACTATCAGCATAATGAAAAAAAAAAGTCAGCTGTTCACTTTTGAGAGTGTCTGCCCATCCTTAGCACTAAGTCAGTGGTGTCTGGGCTATCACTTCGTAGCCTTGGAGGTGTTAAGAATGTAGGCGTGTTCTACTCATTTCAATTGTCACTTTGTCACTCAAAAACATTTTGCGAATTTTTGCTTGTGTCTTTGGGCCTAGGAAACTGCTAATGGGAAATAGGTAAGTTTTTTTCCATTGGATAAATATTCAAATGGACATATGTCTGCAGACAGTCACGCTGCTAAGCTTTTTCTAGTGGTGCTAAATGCACTATCAAACAAATTTAATTGTGAGCTATTGTTGGGGTAGGTAGATCAGCTTCCCTCCCCAATTTTATGGGCTGGATCTTAGAAGACACTGCTTCACTACTTCTGGAGCAGTGAGATCCTAAGAAGTTCCAGGAACTCCAAAACCTCAGCTTCTAGAGGGACAAGGAACTAAGAGTTCCAGCTTATATTCCTGCCTTTGTGATGGTGTGGGCAGTTTGACAAAACTGGGGCTTTGGGGGAAGGAGAATGAGGCCTACATTTTTCCTGTAATGTATATCTATTAATGGTCCAAATTAATTCTCTTCCATCTCTGAGGGGAGAGGCAGTCCAGGTGGTATTTAGTGATGACACATCACTGCACAGGTAGGTGTACAAGTGCTGATCTGAAAAGGATTCCTGCCAAGGTTTCTTGGAGAGGATGAACCTCCATCGGGATGGGGAGGGTGGGTTACAGAAGGGGCTGTGTAAGTAGTACACTGGGAATTGTAACAAATGCACCCACCATCAGACTCGCCAGGTGGGGGTGAGGGGGGCACACCAATATCCCACCTCTTAATCTTGTTTTCCAGTCTTTGGGACCTCCTGTATGACCCTTTAGACCTAACTGAAAAGCAGATGACAAGACAGAATCAGGAAACAACCTAGATGTCAGTAACCCCCCCCCCCACCCCCCTTGGGATGTGCAAACTAAACTAGCATGGTAGGGAATTAGATGTTGCTGTGAGCAACACGTCTCTCTCCTCCCCTGAATGGGCTGGATCTTAGAAGACACTACTTCACTACTTCTGGAGCATCTTCTAATATGGGCCTAACATTTGACTGTTCCTAAAGTAATTCCTCTCACTTGTTCAGTTCTACTAGGATTTCTCTCATAGAGCCTGCTAACATCCTCAGTGGTAGCACCTCTTAGCCACCACTTTGGTTTTGGGCTACACCTGGCTGTACTCAGCTTATTGTGGGCCTGTGTTTGGGTCATTCCCGGTGGGACTTGAGGGGTCATGTGTGATGTTGGGAATCAAACAGGTCAGCCACAAGCAAGGCGAGCACCCTACCTGCTGTCTTCTAGCCTGTTGTGCTTCCCTGTTAACTGCCAACTTTGGATGTAATATATTTGTTAGTCCTCAGAGCAAAAATAAAAGCTGTGAGGTGCTGGTTCAATAGTACAAAGATAGGGCCCCAGGTTTGGTCCCTTGAGTGCAGAGCCTGGGGTGACTCCAGAGCACTGTGGGCTCAAAACGTGTCACCACCCCCCCCAAAAAAAAAACTAAACGGAGCCATTTCACATCACTGCTTTAACTTCCAGTGTACTAAAGAGCAACTGTCTTGTGGGAAGTACTTGTTAAGTGGGGAGAAAGGGAAAAAAATGAAGCAAACATGGGCAGCAACCTGACTTCCTGAAGAAACTTATGCCTTTAGCTAAACTACCCTGCTGCCCAGGTCCTGTACTGTCTGGAAGGGAATGAATAGTTAACAACTATGTTCGAGCCTTGACTTTTCAGACCTTTCAGTTTATGTTACTGAAACTTCAGGGACCCTGAGTGTAGACCCACAGCCACATTTGTGGATAAGCAAACTCGGGAAGAGTGACCTCCTGTAGTGTATAGGTCAGTGTACATGCATATTCTTGCTTCAGGCTTAGATTACTGCTGTGCCAATTTAAAGGCTCATAAAGTTAAAGGAACTCAATAACCTGGGATACTCGCCATTCATTGCTTTGTCCAAAGTTGTGCAGTGTATGGTGAAGCTACTGGACATTGCTGTGTGGGATTTCTAGAGTGGTCATAAGAAAAACTGGTCGTACGGGGAGAACATAAGCTCTAGCACCAAAAGGCCTGGGGTCAAGTCTCTGCTGCAGCACTTCAACCACTGAAAGCAATTGATTTGATTTCTGAGACTCCCATTTCTTTAAAAAGTGGTATGAGGAAGTCTTGTATGTGAAAGTGTAGTTGAAATTAGAAAAATGAAGATACTGATAGGAATGGTTAGAAGAAGTCAGTCTTTTCTGGTTCCCCCTCACACTTTTTTTGGGAATCCACACCCAACAGTGTGTGAGAAACCATATGGGGTGCTGGTGATGGAACCTGGGTTGGCCACATGCAAGGCAAGCCCCTACCTACTGTACTATCACTCTGACCCCTCCCGCTCATGCTTTATGACACCAGCCTTCTGTCCAGTTGCACCATTATAAAGAAGTTAAATTTCCTTTAAGGAGGCTTAACCTCCTTTAAGGTTAAGGGAAATTCAACAGGGAAAGAAACCTAGATCACATGAAGGTTTGAGACAACTAGCATGTATAACTTGCTTTTCTGACTCCCAGGCCAGATTTGATCCTGGTTTGAGATGAAGGGTCCAGTTCACAACTAAATAACTCCCTATTAAGTATTGGAATGTATACAAATCTGCTTCTTAGAATATCCAGAGTTGTGGGCCAGAGTTATTGGATAGTGGGTAAGATGTTTACCTTGCACGTGATCAACCTGGGTTTGGTCCTTAGCATCCCATACAGTCCAGTATCCTGCCAGGAGTGATCCCTGAGCAATCAGGAGTAAGCCCTGTGTGGCCTAAAAAACCCAAAACAACAAAACAATTATTCAAGAGTTGTGCAGCCATCACCACTTGATAGATTCTTCTTTAATCCACTAAAATGTTATATTTATAAAAAAATCCTGAACATTTTTGTCACCTTTTTTTTTTTCATTTTTGTCACTCTTAAAAGGAATCTATTTGTAGTCTCTCTCCTCCACTCTTCCTTATCCACCAGAAATTACTACTACTGTTTCTATGAACTGTATTTAATATGAAAGGAACCATACAATGTATGGTGTTTTGTATCTGGCTTTTCACTTAGCATAAATTTTTGGAACCCATTCATCAATGTAGTTTGATTTTTTTGTTATCTTAATAAACGTATTAAAGGTATTAACATAACTTTTGAATTTTTTTCCTCTTTGATCTGATTACTTTTCCTTTTTTTTTTTTTTTAATTTGTTAGTGGAGTCACATGCCTGTAATGCCCACACATTTATTTGTGTTTGCAAGAGATCTTACCTCAGACTGTGATGCTCATTATGGTTTTATTTTTTTATTCTATTTTATTTTTGTTTGCTTTTTGGGTCACACCCGGTGATGCACAGGTGTTACTCCTGGCTCTGCACTCGGGGCCATATGGGATGCTGGGAATTGAACCTGGGTTGGTTGCAAACGCCTACTCGCTGTGCTATTGCTCCAGCCCCATTATGTTTGTTTTTTTAATTTTATTTTAATAAAGTAGTTCACAATAATTGATTGCATTTAATATTCAAATACCAATCCCTCCCCATTACAGCTTCCCACCACCGTATTTTGGATGCTTCCATCCTGAACCCCAACCCCTGACCAAAGCAGAGCTGAAATAATTTATTCTGTATTGTTATGAATAAACTGCTGAAAATACTCCCAAAAACTTTCCTTAGAGGAGAGTGTGTGAAGATTGTTGAATTTCGCCCAGGGGCCATTAAGCCCTTCTATAAGATATTACTAATACCTTGTTAAAGCTTGAGCCTTGTGTGCTTATATGTAAAAGTGTATTTCTAAGATTGGTTGCCTTCTACTATGAACCCCATCAAATATGGTGCACTACTCTTGGAGCATTATGTTTTTAAGACTAATGTATTATAGCATTTAACTACTGCATTACTTTTTCTGGCCAAATGATCCATTATTTAGACAGCACTTTTTTTTTATTTGGCAGTTCACAATTTCTGTGCAGACATGTCTTCAGTTCTCTTGGAACAGCTTTTTATATAATGCAAATTTAGGGCTGGAGACATAGTATACTGGTAGGATGGCACATGACTGACATTGATTTAATCCCCAGCGCCCCGTGTGGTCTCAACACTCCCCAGGAGTGATCCCTGAGAGTCAGAAGTAAGCACTACTACCCAGTGTGGCTCAAAAACCAAAACCAAACAATCCCTCCCCCACTACCACATCCCCCTCCTCGAAACCCCCACTCCCCACCAAAAAAAAAAAGCCAATTTTCTGGCTGGAGGGAGATCAACTCGATTGCTTGCTTTACTTGTGGAGGCCCAGGCTGGATCCTGAAGCATGTGGTCATCTAGGCACAGAGCAAAGAGCACTGCCAGGTGTAGCTCTAAAACAAAAAGCCATACTTTATGAGCAGGAGAGATAGTAAAATAGGCAAGGAACTCGCTTGCACGTGACTGACCTGGACTTAATTCCCAGCACTCCATATATGGTCCCCAGAGCCAGTCAGGAATGATCCCTGAGTGGAGTCAGGAGCAAGCAGCCGGATGTGATCCTCAAAGCAAAACAAAAAAACCCCAAACCCTAATTTACTTAAAATACCAAAGTTGATCATTTTT